AATACCAGAGGCGGATATGCGGTAGCCAAGAAAGTCGATGGAGCTTTGGCCAAGCTCGCATTTATCGGAGTTGACGGTAACCCCATGCTACGTTAAGCGTTGGAACAGAGCGTCGAGGCGATGAAGATGTTCATCGTCAGGAGAGCTGGCGATAAGAATGTCATCTAGATAAGGATAAACGCCTTCGAGTCCTCGCGTTACCCCATGAGTGAAAAGTTGCAAAGTTTGAGCAGGGTTGCTGAGGCCGAAAGGCATTCTGAGGCACTCGAATGGCCTGATGACTGCTGTTTTAGCAATGTCGTCTGGCGCAACAGGTATCTGATGGTAGGCGCGAACAAGGTCGACTTTGCTAAAGATAGACTTACCAGCTGGAGCTGAGGCTAAGTTGTGCATGTGCGGAATGGGTATTTATCCGGGACGGTAATTTTGTTAAGTGCCTTGTAGTCACCACATGGGCCCCAGTCACCGGATTTCTTTGGCACCATGTGTAATGGTGATGCCCATGGTCTTTTGGACGGGTGGATTATTCCCAGTGTGCCCCATGCTGAGGCTGATGTCGCATTCATGATGCTTCTTCATCGCACTTGGACTAAACCAACTTACACTTATACTAGGTCTCTTTTTAAGCTGGATAAATTTCATTCCACTTGTTCTGCCTACCGGAATAATCTTCCAATAAATTTCCACTTTACTTACGGTAATTGTGCTTATCTTCGTTAATTTTATTGCGTTTGTAGCATTTTTGGGTTACTTCTGGACATTTTGTACTTACCGCGGATTCGTTGCTAACCAACATACTTCATATGCTAATTTAGTAAAGAGTTATGTCTGCATAGCCGTATTCTTTAACAGATATTTGTTACTGTTATTACAAGTGATTTGCTGTTGTTTGACATCATCGGTGCGGCTGCGCTTGTTGTGCGTGTTGACAAGGTGTCTACCTGTCTATTACCCACTACCTCGTCCATACTGTCTCTAGGAGATAGTTGGTCATTGCTGGAAGAGACGGGGTGCACGGTCCTTATGGTCGTGCTAGGCTCGAAGGGTGGTGCCATGCACTCAGTGTGGAACGGACTACTGTCCAGCCACCGCCTTGTGTGCGCTTGATTCCTCAAATACAGCGTGTTTGTGTTTGTTTGTGAAGGAGTGTGGGCCGGCTCCGTTGATGAAACGTGGCTCCCATCCACCTGCCTCCCGGTCTTATTCCTTCGGATTTACACTGGATATGGCGTATGTGGTTGGAGCTGTGGGTGGTGCTGCGGAAGCCACCCATAGTCCCTCTGTAGGCGCAGGCGTCTTGTGGCTGGCCACAGTGACAGGCACATCCGAAACCGGATGCCGCCAACCATAATTCCCAGTTCCAGCATTTGCTCGAATTTCGCCTTAGCAGCTTTGAGCTTGTCCGGGGATAGTCTGCGAGGGCGGGTCGAAACAGTTGGACCCTTAGTGCGGGTGTGATGCATGACGTTTGACGTCACAGGAGGCAAGTCGTTCGGAACGCGCACGGGTTTAGAATGCTTGTTGGAAAAGTCTATAAAAGGCTTTGAAGCTTGAGGTAGGACACGAATGGGAGTGATAGCAGCCCCGTTGGTAGTAGTGTTGATAAAGTTGAGTTGTGTCCTAGAATCAATAAGCTCCTTCCTCTTTGCGTCGACGATAGGGTCAAAGCGTTGAAGAAAATCTACGCCTATGATGGTGAAAGGCACGGCAGCTACTATGAAAGGTCAGCGGAAGGTTCGCCGGAGGCTTAAATTGAACGTTAGCAGCCTTTCGCCGAAAGTTACGATTGGTGTGCCATTGGCGGCACGCATTTTGGTCGGCGAGGGTGGGACGACCTCATCTGAGATACGGGGTATAACGCTAACTTCGGCTCCGGTGTCGCCTAGGAACTGTGCCGGAAATTAAATCCCTTACGCGGATGAGGTGACTTTGGTGTTGGCCGATCGCGTCCGTCGCCATTACGGACCGGCCGAGAAGTTTCCCTGCTTCTCGGCAAAGTTGCAACACTTGATACATTTACGAGCTGCAGTACCAAAGCGCTGATGGTACCAACAGCAAGCCTGCCTGTTGCTGGACTTGGAACATTTGGAGGGCGATTTTGACCGGCTATGACAACGACGGTTCGTAGTAAGTTTTTGAACCTGGAGACTAAGACTTGTGCTTGCAGGGCTTCTATAATTGACTGTAACCCAGTGCTAGCAGTGCCCTAGGACGCGATGGCATTGATCTTGCTGGTGTCGGCTTGGGGCTGTGATCGCTCAATAACTCGGTCCGCTAAGTCTGCTAGTTGAGTGAGCGAAACTGAGCTCACGATAGCAAGTACCGCTTGCTTGTTTTCTGGTATCCGCTTTAACCATAGTTCGCGAAGTAAAGTCTCGTCCATACTTGAGGAACCAAGGGGTTGCTGCATCTCTCTTAGCAGGGTTGAGGGCAGTTTGTCGCCCAGCTGCAGATCCCTGAGAAGCTGCTGCAGGCGAACTTTCTCATAGGGCATAACACGCTTAATCGTGGCCTTCTTGAGAGCATCAGCGGTTTTCGATCTGAGAAATGATAACGTCTCGAACCTGCATTGATATCTCCTTGGTGAGATAGGACATTAGCTTGCCATACTTTGGGTAGTCGGAAGTGCTTCTGTGGTTATAAAACTCAGACTAAAGATGAGCAAACCACAAAAGAGGATCCATGTCGCAAAAAGGTGACACAGAGAGAGATACAACGCTAAGCAGAGACTCTAACTTACGGTCTACCGATTCCATGGTTTAAAAGTGACGCAAAAAATAGGCTACCATATACAAAAATGAATTGATAAATATGAAAATAAATGGAACGAGCTCACCGAAGAAAAGTTCGAAATATCCGGCGCTGAGATTCTTCCGGAGTCGGGGTCACCAGTTTAGCGGGTAGCCTGTACCGGGAGCCCGGAGAGCGATTCGAAAAGGCAGATCGGGTTGCAGGGAAACTTTTATTGGTACAGTAAAAGATTCCCTGTTATCTAGCTATAAAAGAACGACACCGTTGACGATCTAGCTAGGGGAACGGAGGATGCACAGCACACAGGGCAGTCGCGCGTTGCGACCGCAACGATCGCTAAGCCAAAAATGGTGATGAGCAAGTCAAGCGTTCGAATTCAATAATCAGTTCAACGAGCTCCACCGGTCATCTAGGTGTGCAATTAAATAATTTTAGTTGGAATTTTACACAAACAAACCGGGGAATCTCCAGACTGCTACAAGATACGACACACGTTCATGGGAACCGGTCCATACATGTCACCCAACGCACTCATCCACTATCCTCAGCTAAACAGTGCGCTTTCACAAGGCATTCGCCGATCTATGCTTGTCCTGCATCACTTCGCCACCAGCCATAGCCGACCGATCATTAAGGATTCTGCAACTACTATTCGTACGGCTACCGTTATCCGAAAGGCTCATTTCACACTCCCCAAGGCATTACAGCCTACAGCCTATTTTACCTCGTTATTCTGCTTCCCCGTGTCAGCAACAATAGTTTCAGGTTATGGCGTGTAGTGGTCAGACGTCCAGTTGGCGTCAGCATAGGAAATTGTTGACTTAACGTCTCCACACATCTACCTGATTTGGGACCAACGGACGAAGAGTGCCGATGGCTAGAAACAATTCAGGATATGGCGTGTAGTCGAAACCATTGGAAGAGTTGTGTACATACTTGTTTAGATTCAGACGTCTAAAAACGAATAATTGAAAACGACAGCAAAAGAGAAATGGCGTGTAAAAAATAACAAGAACAGTTCCGTTCTTCTTATGGCACAATAGCTGAAGTGTGTTGCTCACCTTCGACTAATGCGTCATAATGATGATGCGGTAATTAAACCTGTATTCTTCTTATGATTTCCATGGTTTTATTTGGCTCTATGTCTATTCCTTAAACTGTTGCCAATACATGCAGCTGTCTGTGCCTCGCGAGCTATATGCTCCTCTAACCCCGGAGAATATTTCATCCACAAACGATTTCGAGCCAATTGTTTCACAATCCAATCTGTCTCTGTGCATCCCCATACAAACAATGGCACCTACTTGGGACATTCTGAGCCAGTCTTCTGCACCTGTACTGAGCGTTTCACAGTCCTTTATCGTTTCTGACTGCACACTACAGCCATGTATGTCAACTGTTCATATGGATTGCGTCGCACAGTTGAGAATACAACCACAGAAACCTCTTAATGACGGTGTACCCTGCACTGCACGGATGATGTTTTGGCTATGCCCTCACGTTGCGTCTCACCGACGTGTAGCACATCATACATTTTAGCACCAATCGCCGAAGTGTGTTCATCCACACAAACCGACTCAGACCCCGGATGGCAGTGCACTCTGCATTACTAGCCAATCTGCCACCACGATTTACCTCACACCCATTCCTTTTCCCTTTTGTCTCCCTATGTTCTTAGAGGGGTGCGAAGTTATCCAAACATTTGGAAAACTCAGGCGAACCAATTGAGTCACGCATAAATGCGAACGCGTGTTTTATATATCCTAACTAAACGCTGTTTCGTCTCGTCCTAATAGCTGCCAACACCATGGTGACCAGGCCAACTTGCCTATCCGTCATGGTCCTGGTCCACTTGGTGCGTTGAGGACGACGCACACTTGTTTGGTGGGATGATGTGGCGATACTTGGTTATCTGGTTACCTGCTTGTGTTTTGTTGCACTTCATGCCAGTATACCCTTCAGTGCACTTGCCATATTTTCTCTTCCTCGGCTCGACTGCTGTGCTGTGGTGTAACGTTCACATATCAAACCAAAACGTAACGTTATTTCACTTTTTCAGCTTATGACCTGCTACGGCCTCCACTGAGCACTACAGTGTATTCTGTGGGCTGTAGCTAGCGCCCAATTTTTCTATCTCGATCGGTTCCACATTCCCGGTTCATGTGGACGCGCATTATTGCTGTTTCACTCCCTCTTTCATCATCTCTTTTTCCTCAAAGGATGGTATGATTCTATCCTCCTTGATTTAGCTTTCTAGGCATCTTCCGCGAGCAACGAAGGCACAATCTTCCAATTTTCTGCTAACTCAATTGATGGCGAACTTGTCTCCCTGGAGAAATATCGGTAATTGGCATGACTTATCTTCAGTCTGTAGAGGTTTTGTTACTTTGATCGTCAATGTTGCGTCCAAGTGTGGATTAACGGACACCAACTACCGCCAGCTGCAGGAGTTGCACACACGCCTGGCTGGCAAAGGACTTCGTATTTTGGCATTTCCGTGTAATCAGTTTGGCCACCAGGTTAGTTCCTCTGCTTTATTACCAGCGCTCCAGGAACCTTGGTCAGACACTGAAATTAAGCGTTGGGTCACAGAAAAGTATAACGTAGAGTTTGATATGTTCAGCAAGATCGACGTCAATGGTTCCAATGCCCATCCTCTGTACAAGTTTTTGAAACATGAGCAAGGTGGCTTTCTCATCTCGTGAGTATCGACATTTTGAATTATTCGGCTAGGGCAATCAAATGGAACTTTGCGAAGTTTTTGGTTGGCCGTGATGGAATACCGGTTCGTCGATATTCCCCCCAAACCAAACCCTTAGTAAGTTTGTTGCTATCTCTTATGTATTCGTGACCCACTAACTCGTGTTCCAACGCAGGTTTACAGGCGTTTTCCTTACACTCTTGCTCGTGCACCTCACACTTTTTTTCATCATTATACTTGTTGTGTTTCCACTGACAGTACGGTTAACCGGTACAGCTACTCGGTCACGATGCAGCCACTTCCCAAATCAGAAGACAAAGGTCTCTGGCAGCAATTGTATGCAGCAACCGGAAGACAGTATGTACCGCCAAAATATGAGATGGAACTAAATAGTTCATGCGAGAATGACCTAATTGAAAGTTATTGACTAAAGTAACTACTAGATGCGCTAAAACTCGTTTGTTGGCTGATCAAGTAGTGAGCTTACTGGAAGGCTTCAAGGCAGGTCATTCTCATTTGTCCACTTCAAGGTAAAACGACGCCATTGGCTTACTCTCATTGTCTAGCCAAAGTGCTTCAGGCGGCGTGCGACCATTCTTCTCCGGCTGCTTTAGAGAGAGCTACAGACGGGCTCCCATAACAATGCTGTTAGGCGGTTTCCTTAACCATGTACTGCAACAGTGCATCTCTAATGTTCGGGTTGCCCTTGAAAATCCATAACATACCTGTCACCGGTGTTACTTAGGCATGTCTGAATGATCTATTCTACAATACTACGGCACGTGGTTTACTCTGTGATTGCAAAAATTATCCCGGGCGCGCAAAAGATGCTCAGCTACCGTTTCTTATCTCCACTATCCTTGGATCATTCTTAGTGTACGATAACATAGTGGTGTTAGTAATGGTGGTGACTGGGCTTTAACCCGTTCGCGCGAGATGGAACCACTCTTTTATCCTAGAACTGTCACGAAGTGTGACAGATGCATGCTGTGGTACCATAACAACTACTCTAGGTTAAGTTAGACATCAATCGATTTGTTCACTCGTTTTCCCAAATTAAAGCGGGTTCGTTTCCACTGTGTTTGTTTAGCTGAAACATACTTATACTACGTGCTCGACAGGTGAAACCACCTGGTGGGAATGCTGTCGATGTGGAGTGTTCGCAAAGGCTCAGCGCAGCAGAGAAGTTAATTCAAAAGCAGAGATCATTCACTGACTATGTAAAGACACGAATTGAAGAACCGCAGTCCTCTTTCTTCTACCATATGCGTAGTGCGGAAGTTGCATTGGGCTGTCAGTGGAAGGGGTTTAGCTACAATCACGAAGAGTCCATAATACGAGAGTGTAAAATTCGACGCGATGTGGATAGAAGGCGCGTGCAGGATGTTCTTCGCATTTTTGGGTTACCGCCGCATGTGTACATAAAAGGAGTCCACAGAATCGACCGTTGGAAAGAAGTAGAGGTACTGTGCCAGAAAAGTTTGGCACCCACTTTGGTTGAGTTTAAAAATCCACTTTACCGCGATCTGTCACTTAACCAAGCAGGTGTGCTATCAAATTATATCAGGGGACTTTGTCAACTGGCACCTGATACATTAGCTTCAGGGGAAAGATCCCTCATCTAAGTCAGAAGGATAACATAATCACTGCACAAGTCGAAACAACGCCCGTTTGTGGACCTCGTGTTCAAGAGCACTGTGTGGTGGAAGGTCCACTTCAAGTGGACCTAACAACGACCAATGTGTGGCCCATACATGTTGTTGTAACCCTGCTTAGGCTTTAAAGAAGGGTGACCACGTTCCACGTATGACCACGGAGCATGTGAGGATATCGGTTCATCATCATCAATATACACGTTAGCTAAAGGTTAAAAGCACTTCAGCTACTGTGCCGCAAAACATAAAAGGGAAAAAGAAAAAAATATGCAACAGATGCATGCCAACTGAGCTACGAGTAAGGGATAGGCATCGTTCCGAAAAGCTAATAGCCGGCACTTACACAGCAAAAGAATTTATTATACAAAATTATATTATGCTAGGAAATGAACTCTTGGTTGGAGGGGGAACCAAACGGAAAACCACAGCACGAACACCATTGAGGTCACCTCTTTGCCATATCAGCAAACGTATCCAGGCAAACGTGTTCATCGTCTTTTGGATCCAAACCAGGGAGCCGTGACGCTTCATCTGCGGCCAGGTTCGAAGTGAGGGCCTTCATTCCTTTCGACCGATTCATCGCCTGGCCACCTCACCTCTTCTTCCATGCACACCCCCAGCGCACAAAAGGGCACGTCGCGGCAGCCGGTGGTATTTGCAAAAGTCTGTTAACAGACATAATGCCATCAGAAACCATGGGATTCAAACGAAGGTACAGAAACAGTAAAATAAAACACAACACAACAATGTCCATGGTTTCCTAAGAGGGCAGCCGGTGGACTGGCATGCGTAATACGTGGCCGTGCCATCGGAGCCTGGTTCATGAAATAATGGTGCTGATCGGTTCATTTCCTTTTCCTGTGTCAAAAGCAAGGCGTCGAACACACTTGTTGCTCACTTGGTGTTCCCACCGGATGTGAGCCAAACTGCGAACGTAACTAACCTCCCTATGTCGGCCGATCTAAAGGGCCAGGTTTCATAACCGTACATTTGGGTCATACGTATCGTTGCATTGTACACTCTACCCTTCAGGGAGAGAGTGATGTCGCATCGACGCCATAGGTGGCGAAGGTTAGCAAAAGCGCCTCGAGTTTATGCCGTACGGTTCGTGATCTCATCTTCATTCCCACGGGCATCGAACTACATCTAGCTGATCCCCAACAAGGGTCGGCGTAGGAGGCGGTCCAGGCCAATCTTGGTACTGAATACTGTATTATAGAGCAAGTATAAATGAATTCTGTACAACTCTTTCGAAATATGATGAAAAACGTTAAAAAATTTGTCAACCGTGAGTATCGTTGTCGTTCTCATGTAACATTTAAAATATCTGACTTACGATATTTCAGGACTCACAAATGTGATATGTCATCGTAAGTGTGCAATCCTTCTCTGAATCGAGTAGTGGCAAAATATAAATCTAACAACGTTTTGAACTGCTGCCCCGATACTGCTGCACCGATATTGTATCATAAACATTTTCAAGTATACTGTTCCAACTGTTTGCCGCTTTCTGTTCGGAGAACACTGGGTAGAGAAGACATTACACGTTTGTCACTGTGTGTTTGTGTCCGTGTTTGCGCTTGCTGGATCGCCCTCCTAAGTAGAGCAGGGGACTTAGCATTGGGTAGTCAACGATATGTAGAATTCGGTACGTCATGAAGACGTCGGCTCGCACCCGTGTGTAGTCCTAGGTGTAGACACATAGGTTCTCACCCCAGTCCTCGTACCCTCAGGCAGGTACCCGTGGGATCAGGTTGATCGCAATGTGTCGGTGCGGTTCGATCTTTGTGATTCGCTTGGAGTAATCGGAAACTTGGCGGGAGATCCGTACTATAACAGTGGAGTAGTGACGGATGAGAACCTGTTAGTGGCAAGCTCTTCAGACCCTGTTCAGCAGCCGCAGTTGGGCGAGCAAAGCATGCTCTGTCTTGTACGTGATATCCACTTCGTGTAGTCCATGGCCTTAGAGTGGTACTGTAAGAGTACAGCTGGGTGTTGCACGTAGGGGTTGGGATATAGGGGTGGGTGTTCGGGCGTGTGGGCTCGGCCGTAAGCACACACCTCCAGGCTTAGATAAGCAGACTAGGTTGAGTAGACCAGGAGAACAAGTGGTTCAGACCTTGTTGATATGCGGTAGAGGTCTTGCGGAAGTAGGACCGTCTCGTTGTCTGCGTCTCTTCCTCTCGAGAGCTACCTGGCGACCGCAAAAACGGCGCACGGCCTCTGGAGAAGCTGCGGTAGATATTTGATGTGGGTCCGGAACCGATTGGCCCCCAGCACAGTGGCTTGTAGCAGGCCACTAGTAGGTTGGGTACCAGTCAGCTAGATGGTCGTCCACCTGTACACTCAACTATCCTCCGATACAACGGTCCAGGGACCCCCCGTGCACTGAGCTTCTGACACCGCACATTATGACTTTGTGGATGAGATCCTCAAGGGTGATCTTGTAATACGTTTTACTCAAATCGACGGATATTATGTCCCTTGACTCTTTCATGCTTTTTGCCTTCGACCCCTGTAGCCTTGTAACAAGTAGGCTCGTAATCCTTGAGCTGCGTTGTATAGGACCGTGCTCTACGGTTGTCAGTACCTCGTTCGACTGTCGCTTCTCCTGCATTCCCTTCACGATTTTCTCGGCAAGCTTTGCCCAAATTGGTGTGAGACTATTTGGCTTGCAGTTGTCTACTTTGCTAGGGTTGGCGTCCTTCGGAATACACTTCACCTCCAACCATTTCGAGTCTATCTACAACGAATTTTCGGACAGTAACCTGTTAAAAGGGCGTTCGCGAGTGAAGAGAGGGTGAGTGAAAGTGAGTTGAGCACCTCTGGTCGATGCCGATTAGGTCCGGCAGGGTTGGTGACTTGAAGACCTGTGAGTACTTCGCCTACCTCTACAATGCCGCAATCCATAATATCGAGACCGGTAAAACCAGTAAAAGACGAACTGGTAATCGACAACAGATTAGTGGCGTGCACCGAAGCCGAGTGCGCCCCCAACGCGGTCGCTCGCTGGGTGTTGGAGGTTAGGAGCTGTCCCTCCAGGACATCCAGCACTAGTACATCGCCTCCCGTCTTCTGGCGTTGCTTTTCGTGTGGATTTTCTTTGAGGCGGTCTTTGCGGCTACTAAGTGTTGGGTTTCTTAATTTTTGGGTTTATTCCTTTGTTCCCTGTTGCATTTGTTCCGTTGACATTTATACCCTTCGCAATCATTAGGAAATCCGGCCAGGAGGAATTAGTCCCACAGTCCGCGCTTCCTCCGAGCTTGGTTAACATACTCTGTGTTAAACGAACGAGCCTTCATCGGTTCAACCGTCCGAAATTGGAATGGCGGAAATTTGAAACACGGTTTTAAAAATCTCTCATTAATATACTATCTAACAATCTTCTTCAGATGCCGCTTCTTGTAGAGTCCAGTCCAGGGCTAGACCATCGAATTCCGTTTTTCAGTAGTTGGGAGCTGG